TTTTTCCCCGTTCAGACTGCGGGTCGCTGGAAGTCGCTGAAGAAGCTCTCGGTCACATTGGTCAATGGAAGCTTGCAGCAGGCCGCCGCCTTGGACCTTGGGCAGCTCGGGGCGGATTTCTCGTCCGCGCTCGCATCCTCATAAATCTCCACCGGAGCGTCGTCATCTTCGACACCACGCGGCATCAAGCTGTCCCAGGCTTGCATTGGAGGTCGAGACACCGGCCGGTGTGGGTGACTCCGGACTCGTGAGACGCGTCGTCCGCCTTAACGGGCTGCCGTGAAGCTCCGAGCCTGCCCTCGCAACCCTCAGACGCGAGGACTCGTCCCAGGTTGAATCGCTCAGATGGCCCAGCGCGTCCTGGTCCTTATCCCGACGCGGCCACCGTACGAACACCCTGGCATCCTGAACGTTGACCATCAGCTCGGCGCCCTCCGTCTCGGACGTGAACGAGTAGCCCTTGGACCAATTCCCACATCTGCCCCTGCCAGTGCAACTTCGACCCGTATCCAACCATGGCGGATGACTCTCGATCTTGTTGGGCTCGAGCGGTTTGGTGTGAGTTGGGGGAGGGGGGGAGGGCGTACCGTGTTTTTGGGCAACGTTGCGGAGGTGCTGGAGGAGCTTGCCGCTGAATTGGTGGTAGACCAGGAAGGCTTTGGTCCATCCTGCGGCGGGAGGGCCGGGGATGTGGCGGAGGCGGTACCAGTTGCGGGCGCGGGTGATCAGGGACCAGAGGATGAGGGTCCCGATCGCCCCGATGGTGATGGCAGTGATGGAGAAGGCCATTGTTCGGAGCACGGTGATTGCGGCAAATCGGCGATGAGAGGTAATGGGCAAGTTGGGATCTGAAGCAGTAGCGGGATATAACTTTATTAAACCGGTTCTTCCACCACTCTTTTGCCCTAATGTAAGCTTATCAAATATCTCCTAGTGCCCCTCCGCGGCTCGCAAGCCGTGATGATCTTGCTCCAATTTGGGAAGCATTTATAGACTATTGGTTGAGGCTTCGGAGCTGTCGCCCACTTCTTCGGTTAGGGCGAATATTACTTGTGCGCGGGAGGGGTGGGAGATGCAAGGTGACCGTCCGCAAGGGCCCGGTTGTGGTTAGCCGGCATATGGCAATCGGTGTGGGATGATTCCACCCATGTTTCCCTCGTGTGAACTATCCCCGAGAGAGACGACTCAGGGGGGATGCATCATGCACAACCGACAGCGGACAAGGGCCCAAGAGCATCCCCCGCACGCGGAAGAACGGGACTTGTTTCTGAGTAGCTTGGCGCATGCCTAGCATGCTGCATGTATGTACACAAGTAGACTGGTAGGGTAGTATGACTGCATGTGCTATCGGATCGACAGTCCAGCGAACAGTTAGCCCATGTTAACTTTTGGTCTCGGCTCGCGCCACCAGTCCCATGCCAATCAATCTAAACCCAGGCCCAGACCTCCGTGCACGCTTAAAACTACCTTTTCGTTTCGTGTCTTAGACAACCAGAGAGACCTCGTTTCCAGCTTTCCAAGTGTTGTCCTGCTTAACTTTGACGGTAGTCCATTAACTACCGGTTATAACTTATAGGTAGGTACCTACCTACCCAGCCAAATTGCCAATGTCCGGCACCTCGAATACTAAGGTGGCTTTACCCCACCGCTTGTAGGAAAAGAGGTATGGCGATTAAAAACTGATACTGCCAGTTGATAATTGCTTGCTGGAAGGTGGTAATACCATCTACCAAGGGACCTACATGTAGTCGGTCCAGCCCAGGGCTCAACCCCGTAAGGAGGTTTAGATATATGCAAGCATGATTCGTCTTACGACAACATGTTTAAGGTCAAGTCATCTCGTAATGTCACGGAACCAACCCCTACCTAGTAGGTTATGTAATCCGGTGATCCATGCTGGCTCCCACTAACTAACTAACTAACTAGTGGGAGCCGTCCATGCTCCATCTTCACCTTATAGCCAAGCCCTTGGCTCCTTAGCTTCTTCACCTCTTTATGGTGCAACAGAGATCATCACCATGGCCCAAGGTCCGCACCGTGATACGTATAATACATATCACTTTTTCCCTACTAACGCTTCTGCAAACTACCTACCAACCCAGGCAACTGCCAGTTCGCCGCGACTTCAGACGATAACGGCGCACATTCCCCAATTCGTCGGCCAAGTTCTCAGATTCGTTCCTCACTATTTTCATATGTAGTTAAGTAAATATCCGTCCGGTGCAGGCCGGTCAAAGATGATTCAACTCCAGCAGCTACGCACGATTTCTTTAGGACTGGCTATAAACTTCTGGCCGTACACTACCCCCTCATCAGGCTTCCATTTCCGAGCATGCCCTTTCTTGTCTAGGAGACCTTAAGGGAGACTCGGTTACCTTTTTCGCCCACCGGGACGAGGCGAGGCCCTTCTCCCCAAGCTTCATGTCGTTGATGACGGTCACAGCGGAGCCGTCCGACATGCGCACAGCCTTGGGGAGGCGCGGGGCTGGGGGGGCGGGGGGCCCCTCCCGCCATGGCCTAGCCTCGAGTCCAACCAGCGCGGGGAGGTCTCACAGCTCGCCACGGGAAGACTTCAACGGCTTCTGCGTGCCGAAAGCCCTCGATTCATCGGAGAGTAGCCTTAGGCTTTTGGACATTTCAATGTAATTCATTTTCGGGCTGCCACCCGAAGCCCCTCGTCTGCTACCCCTGGCGACGATGAGTGTCACAACATAAAGGATCATTTCGGAACGAGTTCGTTCGCAAAGCTGTCGAGATTCTCGCCCAGAGCGGTATCCCGGGATTGCCATGTTGCTGAAACCCTAACTACTGAGTGCCCTGTTTGACCAAAAAACCGACGACTGGAACTGACGTTAACCATGGTCCTGCATGGCGAAGTTGGG